ACTGAAGTACTTTTGTTTTTATTGACCTTTCAAATAAGTAAGTTTCTCTGGCGCACCCTGTACTAATGACTGATGATCAATGGCTTCTCTAATCGTCACTGGTCAATTACAGAGCAGCACTCCTCATACGTCACAAAGCATGAGTAAATGTCCCTTCCTATTCATTTTTCCCAATCTGGACGGGATATTATGAAAGAGTACATCTTGCACCTTACTCCTCGTTATCAGAATATGGAAGCAGGAAAGAGAAACATCCCATAGCAAATTAAATAGGGCTAATAACTTATGTAATAAATTGAGCTGAGCCTGTGAATTGCTATTGTCTAATTTTCTTACTAAGCAACCCACACAAAGATTGTACATTAAGTACTTTTGGTTTGCAATGAGTATAACCTGTGTAATTATCATGTGACATTATTATCAAATGAGCTGCTGAGAAGAAAGAAGAGAAAAGGAAAGACTAAGGAACATTAAGTCATGGCGAACGTAGGAGAATAATAAAACAGAAAAGGAGAAAATAAAGAGATTAGAAAATAGATAAATTCAAGATCAAGAAGACGAAAAAAAGAGGAAAAAATTAAAGAGAAAACGATGAAGGAGAAGCAGGTAAAGACTATAAAAAAGGGGGAAGGAGAAGGCAATAAAAAACAGAGTGAAGTGAAAGAATGAAAAAAGGGGGAGAAACAAAAGGAAGAAGGCGACAAAAAAGGAGAAACAGAAGAAGGCGACAAAAAACGAGAAGCAGAAGAGGAAGAAGGCAACAAAAATGGAGAAGCAGAAGACTAAGGCAATAAAAAAGAAGCAGAAAAGGAAAAAGGCAGCAAGAAAGGAGAAACAGAAGAGAGAAGACTACAAACACAGGTGACAAACTAGTGGTGCTGCCAATGCACATACTACATATGCAATGCTTCTAAATGTAACACACTATTATATTGATTTGAATATTATATTGAACAACTATTTTGATGTGACATACGTTTTGCAATGAGAACAAGAGAGTTATAAACTGGCATTGGCACTGGCATTTGCATTGGCAGTGGCAGTAGTAGTATGGCGAGTTATATTACACCCTAGGGTGTCTTTCACATGCCAGCTTCCACATCTATCAGTGTAGTCTTCATTACTCAATCCTCTTTTCACCAATGCCTCATGCACTCCACCCCGTATGAGTCTAGGTCGTCCTCATCTTCAATGCGTAGCTGTTGTCGTTTCCACAATATTTTCAACCAATGTTCTTTGTTCACTCGTTGAAAGTGCCCATACCACTTTAGCCTTTTCCCTTCTATGGTGTCAATTATCTTAAAACTTACTTCCACTTTACGTTTAAATTCTTCGTTCTTAACTTTATTCATTAAAGTCGGCCCGCAACTTTGGTGTCTGATGTCCATTTTTGTTGCTTTCAGTTGTTTTTTTCACTCTTTTTTGCTACTTCCAATACCTCAAATCCATAAAGGGCAATATTCTCTTTGACGGTCTTATACGGCTTTTTAAAGTCTTACTTAATTTATCTTTCCATATCAGTGGATGTTATTGTCTTCTATCCGCTCTGTTTTGCAATTCTGTTTCTTATATCTTGTGTACTGCCTCCTTTTGCGTTTATTTCTGAAACAAGGTATGTGAATTTTTGACAGTGTTTTACTTCCAAACCATCATCCAATTTCAGACCTTTAGCATTTCCACCTACAACCATATACTCAGTCTTGTTAAGGTTTATTTCTAAACCCCATTCCAAGTACTCTTCATATAATTTCCACAGCATGTATAAAGCATAGTCTTCATCCTCCGCGAACACTAACTGTTCATTTGCAAAGTGTAAAGAGAATAACATAGAGTCACCAATCTTAATACTCATATTACATTTCTCCCATCATCTTCTCAGGGGTTCACTCAAATATATTTTAAACAAAGTGTAGGGCTACACAGCGCCCTGTCATAAAACCTTTATTTTGGAAATGGTGCTGAAACGGTTCTTCCTACTTTTATTTGGCCTGTATTATTACTGTACAAAATCTTTAACAGCTATAATCAATAGCATATTTACATTTCGTATCTCCATCATCATCCATAGCCTAGATAATGGAACAATGTCATAGGCCTTAAGCAGATCTTTAAACAAAAGGTGCATCTCCAATTTATGGGCGAGACGTTTGTCGATAACTATCCATCTATTACTAAAAACATTCTCAATACACGAGGTCTCTATCCTGTCAGGTTTTTAATATTTTCCCATACAATCGGCCAATGCTTCTAAAGTCTGCCTCTATAATTTGCAGTTTCCTAGCCTAAAAGCAAATTTTAAAAATTAGCAAGTGTGTTGACTGTAACAGAAACTTCCTAAAAGGAAAATTGGTACACATCTACAATATCTACAATAATATTAAGAGTAGAAAGTTTTCTTCTGTTTTCCACAAGTTTGAAAAAGTGTACATAGCAGGTTCCTGAAATAAACAATTCAAATATTCCTGCAACACAAACCATTTGTTGACTCAAAAGTTACAAAAAGTTATAATGTCTACATTAAATCAGGACAACATAATATCATTTTGTGCATATTTATCGTTCTCATATTAGTTGAAATACAAAGTTAAAACACGTCAAATCTCAGAAATTTGAAAACTTCTTCAAAATAAACCTTTCAAATGGAAATGTTATAAGATAAATACTGCAATCAAAATAATGTTTGTTCATTTTGTTGGATATTTTATTTATGAACAAAAGCATTGTAACTTTACACATTAGGAATGTTCACATTACTAAGAAATAACACGTTCAAAAAAATGACCCTCTTGGGCATGGGGCATCTTCCAAATTTATAACACAAACTATCAAGAAGCTTTGAAAATGTGTCATACTTAGCAAATTGAATATTAATTTAATCACTGAAGTAGCTCAAAATCTTATCCAAATTTCATTGACACCTTGAAAATACACAGAATT